AAATACGAGTTTTCAACTGCGCATGTGCAGTTGAAAACTCGTATGTGTTGTTGTCTGGAACGGTCTCTGGACATCCTTCACCTGCAGATTATGTGAAGATATTGCCTACAGTGACCACTGCATCCTTGAAGTAGCCAGAAATAATGTTGTTTGATTGATTCTGTAAAACTTTCCTGTTTAAGCCCCAGACCGCGGTCGTAGGACGCAGGGAGGAGCTGTCTTTTTATTTATTTATGTTAAATTCAATTTACATATATACAACATTTAAATCAAACGACTTCTTATTTCGACATAGTAACAAATAATGTGAGCAATATGTTTTTATAATAAATCAAAGGAAAATGAGCCATCGAGACATTCCAATCCAATCTGCTATACCCCACTCTGACCAGACGATGGCGCTGAGAGGGGTCCACACGGAGCGAGTCTTTCCACGGCTGAAATGATGCGCTTTCTACGTGTTGAGTACAGGGTTTTATTCATGCATCTATAATGGGTTTAAGTCCCTTTTCAAAGACCCTCACTGTTATCTGCGGAGTTATTTCTCCGGATTGTTGCTTAAAGAGTCGTGGGCTTTATTTTGTCACAATAAAATAATCAGACAAGGCACTTATTCCCTGTTGGTCTCTGTGTTCTTGCTCATACGCCAACAACTTTACCCCCGCGTGCACGCAAACACGTCACATACTCTTCAATGCACTGATCGCAATTCCAAAAGGTTTAATATTGTCAGTGCCCGTGACTGTGGTTCTCCTGCCTCTGTCTGTGGTTCTCCTGCCTCTGTCTGTGGTTCTCCTGCCTCTGTCTGTGGACCTCCCTCACTGTCCTGTCATCGCGAACGGTCTCTGTCAGTCACAATATCATTCAGTGCATTTCTGGTGCATCCATCGATAGCCGTGATACTGACCAGATGTCACCAGTTGATGCTCAATGACTTTGAACAGCCACATGTGTTTTATTATTAATCTTCCACAGTCCGTTTAGGATAAACTAAATAGAGGCTTCTGAAGCGGATTCTAATCATAAACGGAGAGACCGTTTGCATTTTAACGCGATTACTAACACAACATTATTGCTGCTACTTCATGGATGTGGTCACTGTCTGTAGGCAAAATCTTCACATAATCTGCAGGTAGAGGATGACCCATGGTCATGGATCTATAACAGGGATGACCAGAGACCGTTCCAGACAACAACACATACGAGTTTTCAACTGCACATGCGCAGTTGAAAACTCGTAATTTTGACTTTTAAAGTCGAAATTTTGACTTTTAAAGTCGTAATTTTGACTTTTAAAGTCGAAATTTTGAGTTTTAAAGTTGAAATTTTGAGTTTTAAAGTCAACATTTTGACCTTCTGTAGGCTTTTTTTTTTTTTTTACATGGCGGAAACGGGCTTCCATAGGCCACAACTTCCCTCCAAACAAAAAATTAACACAAGAAAAATCCTATAAATGATTAAGAGATCGTTTTTGTCCCACAGAGGGAACATTTCAAGACACATGTGTTCTTGAAAATTACATTACATCATTTAAAGAAGCAACATGTGTCTCTTTTTCATTGATGATTCGCTGTAATGAATGGATTTTCTCAGAAAAGGATGCACGACTATTGTAATATCTTCCACTCAGGATCTGCTTTCCCCAATAATAGTTTTCTTTTTTTCTCTAACTTTTAAGAAATAGCAACATTGTCCAAATTCTTAAGAAATTGAAGGCGGTCCCAGTGACTTGAACCATGTTGTGAAATGTGACTCATCCCCATAAGCCTGAGTGAGTTGCAGTGGATTGGGCCCCTGAAACTACACTGGCTAAGGCCCCCCTGAAGACTAGGACTGGCACTGCTTCTAATTAAACTCTACTCGACTTTAATCGGATCAGAACACACGCTTCAAGACTGGGGGACTTCAGGTGACGGAAAACTGGCAGTGTTTTCATCGTCGCAATCAAGTGCAAACGAAAAATACAGTTCACGCCTTGAACAAAAACCACATCAATAAACATGAGACTCTGAGAAGCACAGCGACTGGCCTCCTGCTGGTGCCCAGAGTCAGGACTAAACATTGGGGAGGCAGCATTTCAGATATCTGTTGGAAAAGTCTAGAACAATCTTCCTGAAAATGTGAAACAGGCCTCTCTTCTACTCGTACAATGTTCAAATCCATCCATCCATACAACTGAAGGACTTTATCTTCACTATTTTGAATGTACCCTTTGAGTTGTTTTGTATATGAACTGTGCTGTACGAATAACCTTGCCTTGCCTTTGGGCTGAAATCCTGGTTCGGAGCATGAGGATGAGGAGTGTACGCATCACCAATCTCCAGAGTGACTCCTATTACCGCTGCTATATATAACAGTAATCTTGTTAAGCCTCCATTCTGTTTGCGGGGGGAGCTGCAGTCAATAAGTGACCCTTCGGACTGTAAACGAGACCCAGACAATTCTCAGGACAACACGTAAACATGATCGGAAAATGCGGCAAACGATTCCCTAACCTTTTTCCCACCTGGTTTTCGAGTTGTCCCGTGTCCATGCATGGGGATGATGCATAATCCAGGAAATGCAAGGACATTTATGGTCTTTTATGAATATTTATGGACTTTAGTCGTCCGCTCCTTATGGACCAATGGCTCCTGTGTGTTTGTTATTATTGCATTTCCTGTGTTTGAGCTGGTTGATTCTCTGATATGTGTTGGCAAATCATAAACTTTAAACGTAAAGTCCTGCGAGACGACTACGGTTGTGATAGGGCTATACAAAAATAAGAATTAAATTGAGCACAACGAGCGATGGATCATATAAAATAGACAACAAACTTATCAGTCGTTATTTCATTCATTCATTTTATGCGTTCTGTGTCACTCCCCCCTTTTTTTTTTTTCAAGATATTGCCTTTGTAAATCCAGATATGAACCCTAATGACTGACCAATCAGGGTACTTCTTTTCATGAATTTGGCTTGTGAAAAGAGCGAGCAAGAACACAATCTTGCTCCTGATTGGCTCTTTGGTTACTAGGTTGTTGCTATCCCAAATATGGCTCCTTGTACCTGTTTGAGTTAACTCCAATTGACTTCTTTACTGCAAAAAGTGATGAGCAAAAAGTGAAAAAATGCTCAAATTTGTCAAAAATGGATCGAAATTTGAGCACATTCTGATTCCTTGAAACAAGATTTTCCAATGGGACAAAGCAAAATGGTCTTGTTTTAAAAAGATACAATAAGTAAAGCCACAGTTCTTGAAATCAGACTAAATGGCTTCGTCCCATTGGCAAATCTTGGTCAGACAGTCAGAATTAAGACAACAATTAATCAGTTCAAGCAATTACTACCTCATTTTTGATCACTTTTTGTTCCGCATTAAGGCAAACCCTAGTGACGTCAGTAGTTGCCTCGGTCCATGGTTTTTATTATTAGAAGAGTCGCTTCTTCATAGATCTGATCCGTGGCTTATATAATATCAGCTGTTGTGAAGTGAAAAACAACACATACCTTGTTTTGTTTTTCCCTTCATCATCCAATCTAATATCAGGGGCTGTAACTATAGAGCTGCTCCCATAATTAGAATAATAAATAACTTAAAATAAATTAGATAAATAAGGACCTAAACCTGCTCCATGCGGCATGAGACTTTAATGACGCTGCAGTCTGTTTTTCTCTGGTTTTCTGTTTACGCCTAACATTTGGAGAGCACGCTTAATTAGTAATAGCTGTATAGCACAGGGACAAACTCTGCTGCTGCTGTCATAGGAAACCAACTCCCCAAAGAACTTCAAATATATGTGCGGGAGACATCTGCTCGTCCCAAAACAAGAGCCGCACTTATAGGGAATGATGGGTTTTACGGGGACATTTTACTGTTTTATCCTAATTTTTGAAACCATATGCTGGTTGTACATAGCAACTCATCAACACTGAATAATGGGAATAGAGAGGCCAATTCAAAGTAAGGTTTTTGGTTTTTTTTACGCTGCATATAAAACTTTTTCTTTCTGAAGTAATGCATCCAATTAATTTAATATACAAGTTTGGGTGCAGTTATTTCCAAAAAGAATGAGACAGTGAGCAAATGAGGCAGTAATACACCTTCTGAAATGACTTTATTATGAACCTGTGAACATTAAAATTCATGACCAAAAGAAGTGCCAAACCGTAATTTAAACGCAAAGGACTGTTTTATGCCTTATTAAAGCTACTTTGGGCACAATAGCCTGGACTTGCCAGTAGTGCAAGAACATTTACTAACAATGCAGGAACTCTCATCAAAATGGCAGAAGGCTGTTTGAGCTCTTTTCAAAGCAATTTCAGATGAAGTTTTGGACTTGGCTAAGATCTGGATCGGGACATGGACTAAATACATTATTGCATGCAGTGGGAGAGTTTGCTCATTTTATTCATCGCTGCCTAAAACAGGGGCGTCCACACCGGTCCAGAAAGGGCTGCTGGGGCTGCATGTTTTCTCAGACCCAGCAGGAGCAGTGCAGACAGCATTTTGAGCCCCCACCATTACCTTGACCGTACCCCTTATCCTCGGGGGCACTTTGGTGCGGGTGGGGGATGTCCCGCTCTCCCTGCCTCCTTTTACCCACTCCGTCAGTAAGCCAAGAGCAGTATCGAGAGACAAGGATCGGGTCATTGACGATTCCTACGGATGGCGCCATGAACCGTATCTCCGGAGAATAGTCGGGTCTCATGGTTACCGAGTCTCACTGTAGAACACAGGTCACCCGGTTGTCGCTGCTCAGTTCGGGAAGTTTAAAGTCTACCGTGGACTGGGGTGTAGGGGGCACCCCTAACGCCATCCATAGTATTACCGGGCTACGACATTCGCGCATTCGAAAGGTGAACGGCCCAAAGTGTGATATACGAGTCCTTGCGAGACAGCCAATGGTTTTGGTCTTAGGCAGCAACAGCTGCAGGAAAGTAACCGGCCTTTTTAGTATCATTTCCTTCCGGCAATGCCTGTTTTGATTTCCTGGGTATCGCCCTTACAAAAGGTGGGTTCACACCTTCCTTACCTCTTTCAGAAGAGGAGGACTTTTAGGGGTCCGAGACGAGAAGCACCTCTTGGGCTGCACCTTTCAACCTGGGGGTGCAGAACTTTATTAGAAACTTTTACAAACATCCATAACAATTGGTATTTCGAATAAACGAGTCACACACCAGGTTTACATTTTATCAAACGGTTAAACAGTTTGCAAGTATTTACAGTTCCTTGCAGGGCTCTCAAGGAGAGGTAACGGGCGAGTCCTTTCGATTCAGAGGGGGTGAATCCGAGTCGCTCCAGGGATGACTCATTCCCTTTATGCCATTTCCCCCTGGCCCCCATTGGGAAACCCATGGTTTCAACTGTCTTCACCCCAATTTCTTCGCCCTTGAGGGCATTCCGGAAAGGCATGTACTTTGTCTTTTTCTTCTTTTCCATGGATGGCAACGTCGAGAGGGACGATTCGAAAGATATGGCGACATCGATGATCACCGCCAACTCTCCTTTGATGGCAATTATGTCGGGGACTGCCAAACCATATTTTGGTGATCTTAGGTGCCGTTCCCTGAAGACCACCCATCCTTTTTCTTTTGCCCTTGCCGCTAGAATATCACAGATGTTATTATGATTTGACATCCTTTGGTTTTTAGTGGCCGAGCAGAGGCTCACAATGTGGACGAGCGTTTCATCGCCCTTCCCGCAAAGGCGACATGTCTTGGGTCCATCTCTATTCAGGGGAGTCCCCAAGCACGGTACCGTGGATGACCTCAATCTTAATGCCGTTATAAAGTCGGATTCGCTGAGTCTCGACGCCAGGGGATCTCTCAGCCAGGCGTTTGAGATCGCGTCGTCCTGAAAGCATTCCACACCCATGCCCTGCCACTTGAGCTTTATCCAGGCCCTGTGCTCCTCAAGTTTCAGTTTTTTGGAAGCAAGGAGTCTTGGGGCAACCTCGTCCACTTTGCAACTTGCCACTTCACCCCCAATGGTTTTCTGAAGTTTCTTGATCCTTGTTACCATGTCTATTAGCTCCGCAACCGAGTGGGTCAATGGGTCCGAGGAACACAGTAGCTTGGAAGCCCTTCTAAGCTGCATGATCGGTATCGTTCTTTCAAGCCTCGCCACATTGAGGCCACCGTCTTTGAACCTGCTGTAGAATAAGCCGTTTGCTGCAAAGGTGGGAAGACCCAACCATTTCTTTAGTATGGAACGTATAAGGCCATCCAGCCTTTTAAGATGACCGACACTGAGTTCCGAGAGATTGGCTTGGTATGTCACTTTGGGTAGCACGTAGGTTCTTAGGGCCAGGAGCTTCTGGCTTGGTCTGAGGGAGGCCTTGTCGAGCTTTACGACCGCCTCTTCAATCATCGGAACGAGGTTGGGGGTCAGAAGACCCCTAAGCGGGGAAAATTCCATTCCCAGGTATTTGGCTGAGTCAGAGGCGGATAGCATCTTAACTTTTTCGCCTCCTATCGACCATCGGGGACAACAGTTGAGTACTGGCTTTCTCTTTTCGAAGGAGAGCCAGAAACTGGAGCACTTTTCCGGGTTTGCATCGAGTCCAGTTTGCATACTGAAAGAGTCCAGGATCTGAAGGTTCCTCTCCATACCTTCCCAAGACTCGCTCAGTAATATCAAGTCATCAGCATAAGCCAATGCTGTGACCTTGTGATCTTCTGTAACATATATTCCATGTCCAACTTTGTCCAGAGCGTAGAGGAGCGGATCCAAGGATAGGTTAAAAAGAGTGGGGGAGAGAGGGTCCCCTTGTTTGACCCCTCTCTTTACCACAATGCGTTTCGACAACCCGCCTTTGGCTCGTACCCTGGTGAAGGCCCCCGAGTATGCATTTTGAATCAACTTGACCAGGGATGGGTCGAGTCCCCTTCGATTCAGGCTTTCGATTATTAGGGAATGGGGAATCATATCAAAGGCTCTCCGGAGATCAATGAAGACCACTGCGAGTGGCCTTTTCCCGACTCTCGCGTCCTTTATCAAGCAATTCAGCAGTAGCACGTTTTCAGCACAGCCTGGGGAGGCTATGAAGCCCCTCTGTCTGGGGTGGACCGGGCAGGCCTCCGTCAACCTCTTGTTAATCACACTGGAGAACACCCTAAGAATCACTGAGCTAAGTGTGATTGGTCTCCAGTTCTTAAGTGAGACGAGGCGAGCCTCATCATCCACTTTGGGGATAAGGGATGTGACACTCTCCTTCAGACAAAGTGGGATTTCACCCGTTACCAGCCATTTGTTAAAGATTTGCGCAAGCTTGGTACCCTTGGGGTCGAAGGCCAGAAGGTGGGCACGGCCAATTTTGTCCGGTCCAGGGCTGCCGTTCTTTTTGCCCGACCTCAAGGCCGATATGACTTCGGTTGCCGAGATTGGGGAGTAAAGACCAGAGTTGTCGGCTTTAGGGAGGTCCCCAAATTCCTCCAAGCCTTTGTATGTTCCACTTTGCCCCCAAAGTTTATCATAGCAAGTGCTGATTTCCCTTAGTGGAACTCCACAGGCGGCCTTCTTCCCCTGTAGCACTTCTTTAATCACCAGGGATTTATCAGCCGTGTAGCGTTTTTGTGTGTACCTCCAGGAGGAGGTGGAGCCCAAAGGACCCCTCCCAGCCTGGCTTTTCCTCGACCACGAAATCCGCTTTCCCGGTCTCCATCTCCTCCTCAGAAGTCGCACCAAGGCTTGTCCCTCCATGTGCACTTCTCTCGCCCGTAATTTAGATAGGCCCAGGGCTTTCCTTATCCTTGATGCCATCTTATATTTTGAACTTTCCACCGTCTCCAGAGCGCCCAGCATGT